TTGGCATGTTTTGTGTGGTTCTGGGTGGCTGCCACAACACTCCCCAGGCCTGCACAGACAGATGGCACTCCCTTTCTGCCCCTTCCCACAAACCTACAAAGATCCTCCTTATTTGACTGCTTTAACCGGGCCGCTGCTGAATGGACAGAAACTATACAGTCTCCTCACACAGAGAAAAGAGCTTCTGATAAGATAGAAAATCAATTGTCTGTCTGGGAGAGAAGTTATTAGCAGATGATAAAGTGGTGTGAAGGCTGTAAAAACACAGTTTCATTCTGGTGCAGCTCATAAACAACACTGATTGTTTAATGTGGTGATTTTTCTTGATGGGTGTCAAACCAAATGATGTTTTTCATCATCAACCAGAGTTATAATGTGATAAATCTGTTTATGCTGTGTGTTACTCCAGAACTTGATGGTTTATTAGGTTATGCCAAGTGTTTTCAAGTAAACTGATTAATCATAATGAACCCTTTGTTAGTGAAGCTGTACAGTGAAGTTCTTGTTTTATCAGCAAATCATGTTGGAGGCTCTTAGTGTTTGTCATAATACTTTGCTTTATTGAGTTTTCCTCTGCCTCAGGATTTTCGAATCAGATTAACAGTGTAAAGACATGATCCCTGAAGTGCATAATTAGCTCATGACAATGAAACACATCCCCACATACTTATTACCAGGGTTATTAGCGTTGAAATATAAAAGAAACATTTCAGCTAGTTGCCAAGGCAACATTGCTCAGTTTTACTCAAACTAAAAACTATAGACATATTGTTAAAAGCTAAAATAACTAGACATATTTAAAAAAAAAAACATAAACTAATAAAAATGACAAACACATAAATGTACTAAAACTTTAAACTGAAAATGAAAACAAAATATTAAAATATAAAAAAAAACTTTAATAGTATGTGAATGATACTAAAATAGCACTGCTTATTACCATAGATTCAAACACTCATTACCATTACTACATTACCATGTATATTGCATTTTATTAATCCATCAAGTACATTTGCAGAATGGTAGTATTTATACAATGGTAAACACTTGATTTGATCATATTTATATTGATTCAAATCAACAAATGAAATTCAGCACCACAAATATCACCATGAGGTTTAAATAATTAACAACTTAACTAATATACCGTTGTTTCGGAACTTTCCAATAAGTATTAAAATAGAAATACAAACAATATAATATAATTCAGCC